ACTGTCTTATCTATGTGAATAATGTTCCTCGCTAATGTGCTGAGCAACTTACGCAATTTGACAGCTCACTATGGGTTTAATAGCAATAGTTACAGTGGCCATGTGGAAACAATAGGACCCTTACTGCATGCTGAAACGACAGTCTCCCTTCTGGGGTTTATTTGTAGCCTGTAAGCAAGGACTAATAGTAACGAATGTTGCGCTGTTATATTGATACCCTTACCGAATAATAAATCCCTGAAAGCCAACGAAGGCCCACCTCGAAACCAGTTGCACACAACATGCCGCTTGCCAGCTAGTTAAATGTCACAGCTATTTTCACGAACACCCACCGGAAAAATCTGCCACCACGGCACAATATTACTGGAAATTCAAAGGCGCTTCCTGGTGTTCGCAGAGGTGCCGATACAAATGTGCCACAAACAGTTGGCATGCTACGGGAAACACCAACAGCTTTGTGTGGCGCACACTGCTTAAGCGATGCTTTGAAGTAGAATCTCGTCACCAGAAACCCAATTAAACCAGCCCTAATCGAGCACTGCTCACGCGGGCGTTTTTGTCATTTGTGTGCATTGTGTTCGGCCGAAACGCTACGAACGTAAGCGCCGTTCCACTTGGTGTTTAGTTCACCTTCCCGCCTCCCACTGTGGTCGTGTTGAGTTCAAAAGTGCGCAGATTTGCTGCAGCGTAAGACAAAGCATTGCTAGTCAATAGCATGACGCCATGTGAAAAAGGAATGTAGGTCGCAATTTTTCACACACTTCGCGCCAAACGATCTTGTCATGGGCCCAATCATCTTTAAGGGAATGTTTTACATTTGAAGCCATTGAAGAAGGCATCAGATATGATACAACAAGCTCACTTGTAACTATCGGTATCCTTTTTAAGTGGAAAATACTGCTCTAGACAGCATAATTTTCTGTTTACTAAGTATGCTTCTCAATGCGTTATGGCTTGATAACGCCATTGCACCTTGCACAATATTGATTGAAAGCTAATTGACGGCCGTTATGTCTGGAAACTGTGCCCACCAACGCCAGGTATGAACATCTCGACAATTCTATTCTTCTAGGTTTTGACTGCCGCGTGGGTTATGGAGTTATATCATTTGAATGACGTTATTATGACGTCATGACAAGGTGACCTTGAAATATTCTCCACGAAACAATCCCCATTTTCGCGAGCGTTTGGCTCAGAAACCAGAGCGGCATAGGTCTTAAGAATGACAAAGCTGTGAACAGCACCGAAAAGTCTTCAAGGTGGCTGTTTCAGTTCAAAGCACCATGAAGATGTGGAACGCTCCCTTTAACCCTTTTCCTTAGAAGGGATAGGGTTGCGGTCGATGCGACTCTCCCGTATTAACCAATGTTTACTCCATATTGTCATTTAACTAGTACGTTTTGATGTCTTGTAGGTCGACAACACAGAAAAAAACTTATAAACTTGACAAGTAACAAGCAAAAGTGCCAAGGATGGAGGAAGGCCCTTGACATAAGCCCAAAATAAAGACGAATGATGAGTACGAATCACGTTGATTTGTGCTGAGAAATTAAACCAAGTTATTAAGCGCTATGTTTGCCTTCTTATTTTCTGTTTGAGCTCCAGTTTTTTAGATACACTAAATTCATGTCAGCTTGATTTTGTAGCGACCAGTGTTTATGCGATCAGTTTCAAGAACACAAACGACATCTCCTGTATTTTACTTCGGCACCTATGTAGCGAACGGCATTGCTGGCATCTCATAACAGTCTACATAAGGTACTTTTAGCCGGGCTAATCAATTATGGAATGCTACCAGATGGAACTGCCATACTTCGTTTCTGCTCCGACGAAACAAAGGCATGAAACGTGTGACTTACGCGACTGCTCTACGGTACATATAGCGCTTACAACCCGGACTGACCTGATAATGGGCCTACCATGCTGACTTATAACCATCGTTGTGCTATGGCATGCCTTCGAGCCCAGGTTTTTTATTTCACTTCAGCGTTAAAACCAGGAGCGTAGTTATCTATTCAGTGGAAGAAAGTGGACCAAGTCTAGGTGGAACCTGTTTGTTGGCGCTTCTAGGAGTAAGGTGCGCCATTTTGCACTTCACAGCCACCTCCTTCAACTCATTTTGCGAAACTACATTCCTGGTTAAAGTTAGATAATGTGTTATAAACCAGCGACTCATCGTTTTGTATTCCATGCTTTACAAAATAGTACGTCAGCAGTATTTAAAGTGTGGATAGTGCCTCTACTCGGGTTACCTTTAAATTTTCACGTTTGCTTTTTGCCGTCTTCCCTTTTGCTCTGCTCGAATTCTGCTTGAAAAACACCGAACAACTTACTGGGCCAACTTTGAAGTGGTTTCCTGAATAAACAATATTGTTTCAATCAGGCCAAGCTGCCTGCTGAAAACCTGTCCACACTCAGCAAACCCTTCAGAGCAAACTTGTAGAGAAGTGTAGCACTGAATCAAAACACCGTTGCCCGCTCGCAGTACTCGGCAGGGAATGTTGGTAAGGAAGGAAGGCTGTTTCCTGCCGAGCAGCGAGTATCATTTGGAGAGGAGCATTGGAGAGACGAGGAGAGGATGTGACACTCATTGCTTACCACTGAAGGGACGAGAGTGAGAAAAATAGAAGGAGGGGGGGAGAGAGGGAGGAAGGGAGAGGAGAGGAGAGGAGAGGAGCGGAGCGGAGCGGAGCGGAGCGGAGAGGAGAGGAGAGGAGAGGAGAGGAGAGGAGAGGAGAGGAGAGGAGAGGAGAGGAGAGGAGAGGAGAGGAGAGGAGAGGAGAGGAGAAAAGAGGAGGAAAGGGGGGCGGGGCTCTACCTCAACATGGTGTGGTATTTTTGGCTGGCATGGTAGATAACGAGTGGAATGCGACAGAAGCAAAACTGCTGCATTGCATCTCATCGCCAAGCCCACGAACCCTGAGGTTTTATCAGTGCATGACACATTGGCAGATCGAATACACAGGCTATATCTCAGAACGGTTCATGACTCTAAAACACCATCAGGCATCCATACCGATACCACTGAGCACACGTGTTGAAAACGATGCGTCAATGCAGGTCATGGCAGGAGGGGGGGGGGGGGGGGGGGGTCATAGTAGCAGAAAATAAATTAAGTTTTTTTCCTAAAGTAGTCATAATTTGATTACTTATCAGCGGGTGAACAGGAAGCATTGCCTTGCCAACTTTCCTCAGCACCTCTCCACTCCTGGGGAGTAAAAGATACAGCCAGCAACGCAGCTGGGAGACGTGCACTGGATATGTATCTTTATATAAGGGCCGCTAAGGACAGCGAGGTTGACACCCTAGATATGTTGTAGACGGGGAGATCTGGTTCAGTTAGGTTGAGTTCGGTGAGAACCATTGCATCTAACCACGACCATCTCAGAGTTTTGGGATTGCGGAGGGAGGCAGAGGTGCGGTTATGCTGCTCCCATTGTGTGTAATCAACCGTAAGTCGCCCAGACCCTCGGGCGGAGCACCCATCTCGGGCAGCCGTGAGGTTGGCCCATGGCTGACAGTCATAGCATACTTCCAGCGAGACGTGATATTGCGGACGCAAAAAAAGCCGGAGGCGGAGAAAAAGAGTATGTGGAGGGGACAGAGAGCAGCAGGGACAGAGAGGAGCAGGGACAGAGAGGAGTGGGACAGTGAGGACGAGGGGCAAAAGGGACAGGGGCAGAGAGGAGCAGGGACGGAGAGTAGCAGGGACAGAGAGAAGCAGGGACAAAGAGGAGCAAGAGGAGCAGGGACCGAGGAGCAGGAGCGCCTTTGGGAGTGCCGCACTGGGCCGAGGGTCACGACCGCTAGACATGATGTAGGCAGTCCGCGCCGAAGGGTCACGACCGTTAGACATGGTGCAGGCAGTCCACGTCGAAGGGTCACGACCGCTAGACATGATGCAGACAGTCCGCGTCGAAGAGTCCCGACCGCTAGACATGGTGCAGACAGTCCGCGTCGAAGGGTCACGACCGCTAGACATGATGCGGGCAGTCCGCGTCGAAGGGTCACGACCGCTAGACATGATGTAGACAGTCCGCGTCGAAGAGTTACGACCGCTAGACATGGTGCAGGCAGTCCGCGTCGAAGGGTCACGACCGCTAGACATGATACTGGCAGTCCGCGTCGAAGGGTCACGACCGCTAGACATGATGCAGGCAGTCCGCGTCGAAGGGTCACGACCGCTAGACATGATGCAGACAGTCCGCCTCGAAGGGTCACGACCGCTGGACATGACGCAGACAGTCCGCGTCGAAGGGTCACAACCGCTAGACATGATGCAGAGAGTCCGCGTCGAAGTTGTCTCTCGGGAGACAAACGCCGATCGATTGTCGGGGGAACATGGTCCGCCTTGGTAGGAGGCTCGCCGTCTCCCAGCGGACACGGCGCCCACCGCCGCCGGAAGTGGACGGCTTCCGGAGGCGGCTCGCGCCAGCTCCGGCCGGATGGGCTGTAAAACTGGGAGTGGGGCCTCATTGGCCAGCTGAGCGTCGGTTGCGGATCATTACACCTGGAATGGTCCGGCTTGGGCGCTCTGTAAGCAGCCGTTGAGTAAAATTCGCCGCATGACGGCAGTTATCGCGTGCCGTTGCTCACTGAAGTGTGAGTTGCGTCGATCAGTTAGTGTGTCTAGGTTATTTTAGATTTAAGTGTGCCACTAGCTAATCTAGAAAGTGTTGAATGCTGATGTCATTATTACGCTCAGCTTTCTTCATTTGCGCATTTTGTGGCGTTTTTTTGTGTATGATACCAATGTGCATAGTACGAAAATTGACCGCGGTGAATTGTGCATGAAAACAGTAAACATGGAATGGTTGGGGTTGGTGGTCTCTGTTATCTGATGATATATCTGATATCCTCATGTAGCGTTCTTCTCTGTGGGTGATTCGAGGCGGACTGCTCGCATCCGCCGATATCACGCAATGTCAGCAGCCGGTAGCGTTCTCCGAACAGGCTGTCGGCCACAAGTGGGTGTTCAACCGACCTGTCGTCCATTACAGGCCCGCTGATCAACGTGTCGGCAGTGCAGCGGCAGACGGCTGAGCTCCCCTGTGACGTCACGCCACCGTCACCCGACGACGAGCTGCGATTGGTGCTCTGGTACTACGGCACTGGAGGCACACCGGTGTACACGTAAGGGCAGACTGGCGCATTGTCGTCATGTCGCGCACACCATTCCTTGCATCGCCTATCTGTTGCGGGGCGCGACGTTCGGGCCTGGCCGAGTGGCTCAAATTGAAAACTTCCCGCAGGTCAAATACGAAAGATTCACTCGGCATCGCTGGTGATAGATTGGCGGCTGCTACCACCGTCGCCCATTTGCCGCTCTGGGTTTGTATTTGTGTCCCGCTGCTGAGTGCCGTTGACGCTCCGTCAATAGCTGGCGAGGACGCTCACGGGCTTCTCGGTCCCGATATCGACCGGCGCCGCCCGTACAAACGGCCGCAGCGGATGCTGATTGCATGTCAAGCGGCCCGACCCAATCCGGCATCAGTCGAAAAGCAAATTGGGGACAGATTCGCATTCGGTGTCTCGTCCAGCCGCCGGTGGCAGACGAGTGCATCAGAAGGCTGAAAGGGGTTTGATTGCGACCCGCCGGGAAAGCAAGCTCGCATCCCGGTGAGCTGTTGCCGCCTACTCCCTGGAAGTGCCAAATCGGGTTCATTTGCGCACGTCTTGGTGCCACGTGGCGGTGATTGCAAGACGTGCCTCCGCTGAATTATTCATGAGCCACCTCCTGAAATAGTGTGAAAATATTATGAAAGGGACTGTCGCGACTGTGAGTGCTATGAAGTTACGGATACTGTGTACCACATCAGACGCTGAAAGGCTATCGAAGGCGGTAGCAGTTCAGTCGAATCGACAACGCAACCTTCTGGCTAAGCAACGTAGCATACGTCCGCAACGCATCATAACACCCGCGGCGTTCCCCACTTGGCCGCCGCCACGCTGTCCGTCCTGCCGTGATCCTCCAGCACACGGCGCCGACCGCGCCGACACGCCGTCGCCTCTGCGCCAGGTACGACGCGCGGGACCGGGGCAGGTCGCGCGGCGCCCACTGGACGGACGCCAGCGTGGACAGCAGCCGGGTGCAGTTCCAGCCGAACACGCGGCCGGCCCACCTGCGGATCGGGGCCGTGCGCCGCTCCGACCAGCGGCTCTACCGCTGCCGCGTCGACTTCCTGCACTCGCCCACGCGCAACTCACGTGTCAACCTGACCGTCATCAGTGAGTGTCTGGCCGTCATCAGGGAGTGTCTGGCCGTCATCAGTGAGTGTCTGGCCGTCATCAGGGGATGTCTGGTCATGATCGCAAGTGTTTGGCTGTCGGCAGTAAGTGCCATGCTGTTCCATGTTGTCAGCAGTGAGTGTCCGTCATCAGGGAATGTCTGGCCGTCATTAGGGAGTGTCTGACCGTCATCAGGCAGTGTCTGGCCGTTATCAGGGAATGTCCAACGATCATAGTAAATGTCTGGTCACGATCACAAGTGTTTGATTGTCGCCATTAAGTGCCATACTGTCCCACACTGTCATCAGTGAATGTCTGACCGTCATATGAGTTATGATCGCAAGTCTAAGGCTGTCGTCAGTGAGTGCCATATTGTCACCAGTGAATACAGTGCTGTCATCAGTGAGTGTCAGATGGCCATCGGCGAGTGTCGGATCGCCATCAGTAACTGGCGGAAAATCATCAGTGAGTATCCGTCGTCCGTTTTTGGTGATCCGTCGTCCGTAACTGTCTTGCCATGGTCTGCGAGTGTCTGACCTCCATCAGTGGGTGCCAACCAGGATGTGTAAGTGCCGGAAGCGAGTGCCACTTTCTGACAGTAAGTTTTCATTCTTGCCGAGAGCGTTTCGGGAGCAGTGGGTGACCATCCAGGGCTCCGGCGGCGTTGACCGCTGTCAGCGAGCTTCTCCGCGTTAAATATGGGAAACACTTTCATACTGCAGTCGGATCTTGGTAGCGACTTTTTCAACTTTATCTGGCTACCTTTTTCTGCAGCGTTTATGTCCCCGGGACCTGCCGGCCAAATGGCCATGGGAGGCTGGCAATGTGACCACCTGCCCCGCCAAAACACGACATACATCATGGTCCCCATCGTTTGTTAAACAACTGAAAGGAAGAGAATGCAAAAAAAAAAAACATCTCAGCTGTTTCTCCGCGTCTCTCAACAGTCTCACATCAAGATAATGTCATCTGACCGAAAACTTCACAGGTTTTTGGTGATACGGGGTGAACGTTCACATATCTTCGCAAATCAGGGTTTGAATGAGCATCGCGCTTTCGGATACATCAGCTATCTGTAATTGCATCCGTACATCGCTAGTAAGACAGTGATGGTGGCGGCTTTCGTATATCAATACAGGCTATTGACGTTCCTCCTCATAACTCTGTTCTCAGAATCTGGAGTTGTCGGGAGCAGTCTAGAGATGCTCCCTCGACTTCTTGAAATGCCCCCATTTATCTCTCAGCTGGCTATTTCCATCTCACCAGAAACACATCAGCGCAATGCAATGTGGCTGTCCGAGAAATTGGAGTTCACCAACTATGAAACGAAATCTTATGACTATGACGGAAAAATAATGCTTGCCAAGTGAATGGTTGTCGACATGCACGCTAGTCGCAAAAGTCGTGTGTCCTTGCGGAACTTAAATGTGATATGCCTTCAGTTGGTCTTTGTCTTGCCTTGCATGTTACCCCATTTTTGGTTAGTAATCAACTTTCCATTGGCAAGGCTATTGATTGTGAAGACTGGTATCATCTCAGTCTCTGTCCTCCCTGGCCTCGGATCACACCATTTTGCTCATCCCCTCATCTGCATGACCTCGAATTCCGTTCATAATATCCAGCCTGTCCAGCTCTTGGTGCGGATTTGAGAAAATTTCCTTTAAACAGCTGGCACCGAGTTTAGGCGAGATGTACATCGTTACCATTCCAGAGCCTGAAAGAGCTCACTTGTACCGGCAATGGCTCCACCTCTCAATGTACTGAATGCGGGCCAACGTAGCCCGGCACCGGCCGTGTACCGGTAGTTGCCAGTCCATGCGCCATCCTTTTACCGCCTACATTGACGGACTGACCGAGCGTCGATCCCGCTGAACCGCCGAACCACCGGCCTCTCCGGCTCTGACCCGGCTGACCCTACGTTGTCAGCTCGTCACCTCCCGACCCCGGACCAGGACACTCACCGGCTGACGGCGACCGGGCGTTCCATAAGCCGCGGCCGGGGGCCGGCCAGTCTGGGGGGGGGGGGGGGGGGGGCCGTCCGAAGTCGATGATTGGATCGTCGGCCGCTCCGTTCTGTTCGTCGGTATCGACGGGGCGATCGGATGCACGCTGACGCGTCGGTCCTGACCGGCCGATCATCGACGGCAGGCCCCAGCGCTCCCGAGAACGGCGGTCGGTGCGATACGTCCGTCGTTGACACGTAACCTCCTCGCGTCGCCGATAAGTCTAAAGTTAACCGCTTCACGTCTCTGATAGGCCACGGAGACCTGAACATTGCCACTGATTGGCCATCCCAGGTATCGGTAGATCACAGGTGACCGCCTCACGTGCCTGGTGACCGCGGCTGACCACGCTTCTCATTGGCCCCATCCGACCGCCTCACGACGGACATCCACAGTTGGCTACCGTGGGTCTCTCGTAGGCACCAACGGGTCACTTCAGGTGTCCACAAGTCACAGCTGGCCGTCTCACGTGCCTGACCCCTCTACCAGTCTTACACCTCCGACAGGTCAGAATGACCACCGCGTTTCTGCCACGGGCCCTTTTTGGCCGGTCGAGCTGCAATGCTGGTCAAACTCGGTTGTGACCCCATGCATCGCTGTTGCCTTCAAAGGCCATCCTTCCCCACGTAAATGATCGCAGTGGACGTGTTTAGCTCCCACGGACTCCATTAATATTAGTTCGGCGCCCAGACGGCCGCCAGCTGCCGGGCAAGAATCAATTGCATCGCGAAAGCTGGCCTCGCTTTAAGATGCATTATTCACGCTGACCAGCCAAGGCGCTTAGTTTGTTCAGCCGCGCAATAAAAGCCTAGCGCTTCCCTAGATTTGGGACCGGGGCCAGATTTTCACTGCTCTCGCTGGCACATGTCCAGTGCTCACAAAATCTGGACATTCCCGATTGATTATGCGATAGATCCTGCGCGGGTCGTATGCCGCTGGCCGGGTGGCCCTCAGAGTCAATTTTAACGTGGCCAGTACGAGAAACCCGCGCCAGTGGACCTGCAGACCCTTTCTAATGGTCGATTTTCCGTCGGATGTTTATATTCCGTGTCAGCTGACCCCGGCTTTGGTGTTGGCAGGTGATCGACCGTTTGTTGACGGTTCACTGGGACGGAAACCGAATGACGCGTCTGAGATTATGTTTCACTGAACAATTGTCGCCCCATAGCCGGTGTGGTGCTGCGGGGCATCGGCATGCACATTAAACAGCGCCGCGATGCGACGAATCCCACATCATGACAGCTCACAGAGCGCCACAGCACCACAGCTCACGCAGCACGACAGCTCACAGAGCGCCACAACACCACAGCTCACGCAGCACGACAGCTCACACGGTACGACAGCTCACAGAGCGCCACAGCACCACAGCTCACGCAGCACGACAACTCACAGAGCGCCACAACACCACAACTCACGCAGCACGACAGCTCACACGGTACGACGGCTCATGCAGCACGACAGCTCCCACAGCACCCCAGCGGGACGGCTCACGCAGCACGGCAGCTCACATAGCGCCACAGCACGACAACTCACTCGGCACGGCAGCTCACATAGCGCCACAGCACAACAGCTCACTCGGCACGGCAGCTCACATAGCGCTACTGCACAACAGCTCACGGACCACTGCAGCCCACACAGCACCACGGCACAACAGCTCCCGAACCATGACAGCCCACTCAGCACCACAGCACAACAGCCCGCACAGAGACCATATGGGACGGGAACTCGCTTAGCGACACAGAGCTGCAGCCCTAGCGGGCCCTGCTTACGACAGCCCACACACCACGATGTCGCGACAGCCAACACTGCACCGTAACGCAGCATCCCACATAGAGCAATTTGGCGCGGCAGTCTTCCCAGAGCCATCTCAAGATACCGCTGGGTCTTGATCCACACACACTGCACCTGGGACACCACGCCACCGTCAGCCAGACTGCACCAGCGCACGGCAGCGCCCCAGCGAATGTGACCCAGTGCGGGTCAGCATTGCTCTGACTGACCCAGTGCGGCCGGGCGCTGCGAGCCGCCGGCAGTCCCCGCGCCCCGCGTCCGACGCCAACGCCGTCGATGTCGACGAACCGACGCAGGAAGCCCCCGGCGCGGCACTTCAAAGCGCTTCCATTCCACGGCGCCGGGTTTATCTTTGGACGGACTTTGGCAGCCGCCCTGCGCCAGCCAGGCGAAAACGGCCCGAATCTGAGGCATAACTCGGCGCCGTGATTAATCTCGGGTGTTCTGAATCGCGCTCAAAACTCATAAATGTCGGCCCTGTCCATGGCGCGTGAACACCTTTTGCTAAGTTGGTGACGCTGTCGCTGCTCCCCTCTGTCTCTCTCCCCTCTCTCTTCCCCCCTCTCTCTGTCTCTCGTCCTCTGCTGGAATGTTATGATTGTATCTTGTGTATTGTCGTCTTTCTTGCCTCGCTGTTAACAAGCTTCTGCCCACTTTTACTACCTCCCTTGCTCCTTTACCTCGTGCTGTCTCACTCTCGCGCTCTCTATTCCTCTCACTCTTCATATCTTCATCTTTTTCCCCTATCTGCTTCCCATTCCCACACGTATTCTCGAGCCGTCGCGTCCGACTTCCCCCTATATGTATCGGCGGCGGCGCTTGGCACGGCTTCTGTTTGCGCGGCGCATCTGGGCGTGCGGTGGGTGGCGGGCCAGACACGTCTGATCGAGTGGGCGCGCTCCCCACTCCCCTTACGCGCTGAGTGCCATCCTGGCGCCACTCTCGGCGGTCCGGTCCACTCCTGCCGCCACTCCCGGCGGCCAGCCCCCCTCAGATGCCACTCGTCATGGACGACTGCTCTCCACGCGAAGCCCCGACCCGCTTCTGGCTCCTCACGTTGACACAGCCGGCCCGTTCGGGCGGTTCGATACGGCTGGTAAACTTGACCCGGACGATGCCGCAGGATTGCCGCCGGTTTCGGCCGGCTTGAGCGCTCGCTGGCTGTTTGTGCTCTGCATATAGGATCAGACGGGCCCCACCATCCGGGCTGCACCGCCAGGGTCTTATATAACCGTTGCTCGCCGATGCGTAGTTTAAAAAAATCCCTTTGAAGGCTGTTGACATGGACTTTGAATTCCTTGATATAAAATATTCCAATTAAGGCGTTATTTTGTTGAAGCGGGAACTTGACAACGCAGTAGTTCCAATGACCTATTATGGGCCTTTTGTGGCTATCAATAGCAGTGGAGACGAATCGCATTTGCATAATGCAGGCGTCGATTGCCCAAAAATAGAGGCTGAAGGATTGTTCGCACCTTTCACATTTTCACGTTCGCACGCATGTTTCTACTCAATAGAGCCCCACTCCCGCACACCTGGGTACCGTCTTCTCACGCGCTCGGCTATCTTCTCACCCAGGTCTCGCCTCTTTAGGTCTTCCCCGCTTGTACCCGATTCCACCTTCTCACATCCAGAGTTTCTCCCTTTTCACGTCCAGATTCCACTCCTTCTCACGTCCAGCTTTCATGCCCTCCCACCCAGGTCCCAGCTTTTCACACCCAAACCAGAACTTGCGCGTCCAGATCTACACACACACACACACAAACGCACACACTCTCTCACCTAGGTCCTGTCCTCTCACACCCGGGCCATATCCCCTCGCAACGGGCCTTATCCTCCTCTCATCCGGATTCCGTCCTCTCACACCGGGGTCCTCGCCCGTCATCCGTCAGGCACTGCGCACCGGTCGCCTCGACGCCGTCCCATCGCGGCGGCGGCCGTGTCTCACGAGCTCGGACCGAAGCTCACTTCCGCCCGCCGTCGTCCCAGGACGACGCACGACCCGGGCTCTGGCGCGGCCGGCTCTGTCGCGGCACGCGCGCCGCGTGACTGCGCGGCCCGGCCGGTGTATGCATGCACCGACAGCGGCTTCCGCCTCGGTCGTCATGAGCGACGAGCCGCCATTCGGCCGACGAGAGCGGCCGAATTTACGGCGGCGTTTATGGCGCTGCATGCGGCGGCTTTCAGGCGGCGTCTTGCCGCACCGCTGCCCGCCGCCGGCCCGGATCCTGCGCTGGGTTCTCTCCGCCCCGGAGCGCCCTCCCCCGCCCCGGAGCGGGGAGGGGAGCTCCTCCCCGCTCCGGAGCGGGGAAGGGAGCTCCTCCCCCGCCCCTCCTCTCCCCGCCCACAGCCCACAGGCTGCACGCCGATATATCAGTAGTGCCAGCCCACATTCGGACTGTGTTGTTTCCAGCACTTTTCTGCGGGTGAGATTTACGAGGACAGACGGACCTAAGTGCAGCCGCCGCCGGCACAACGGCAGCTGCAGCCGTCTGCCGCCCGCAGGCCTCCAAACCAGCGACGCCGGCGGCCCCGGTCCGACGCGCTCGATTCATCGCTCGTGATGGCGACTTCAAAAACAGAACAACCGCGCGGATGATTTGTCCAGATCTGCCACTGCGCATTATGGTGGCGCGCGATGCGCAGCAAAGTTTTCCTCTCGTAAACAGAATGCGGCTATCACCGCTTTGTTCACAATCTGTCCAACTTGCCACGTTAAGTTCAAGTTGTCTCGTTTCGTTCAAGCAAGTCCGCTCGTGGTCCCCGCGATTGTCACATGCCTCGTCTAGATTCAACGAAACACAGCCACCAGGTGCCAGATTTCACGGCATCGCGGCCACGCCGCCGCCGTCTGTGATTTTCAGCTGTTTTGCCTCTGTCGCCCGCAGCGCCGCCGGGTCGTCCGACCATCCTGAACGCCGGCGGGCACGCGATCGAGCGTCTCACCCGGAGGCGGTACCGGGAGGGCGAGATGGTCCAGCTGACCTGCAGCTCCTCCGGAGGTCGGTCTCCACGCACGCTGTCACGCCCTCGCTCTGTCATGTCCGGATGCACCCACTCCACTTCGATGACATGCCGTCACACGCTTACGCTCGTAATATGTCATGTCTTCATACGTCTACGTCCTCTGTCCGGCATGCGGCAAACGCTCACACTCTCACTCCGCCATGTCCTCATGCGTCCACGTTATCACTTGTTTATATCCTTATGTGTTTGCGCGCCCACAGTGACATGCCGCTTTATATTCACGCCCTCACGTTGTCACGCCTTCTCACTTGTAACGTGATAAAACCTGCATAGTGTTGACACTGGCTGGTCAGTCATTCTGTCACACATATGCACGTGTCACGCCTCTGCGCTGTCACGCCCTCATATTGTTATGCCCTGACATTGCCACGCCCCTATACTGTCACGCCCGCACATTGTCACGCCCTCACATTGTCATGCCCCACATTGTCAGCATCCCTAAGTTGTCACGCCCCCACACTGTCACGCCCTCACACTGTCGCGCGCCCACACTGTCATACCCTCACACTGTCACGACCTTACACTGTCACGCCCGCATACTGTCACGCACCCACACTGCCATGCCCTCACACTGTCACGACCTTACACTGTCACGTCCTCACACTGTCACGCGCCCACACTGTCATG